CCCCCTTTCGCTTGAATTTGAATTGTGATAGTTCACTAGTAAAAACACTGTTTTATTAAACATTTTATGGGTGAAATACTATTTTTGAAATGAAATACCAGACTAATAAATGTGAATATACAGCTAAACTGTAGCTATAATAAAGAAAAGGTAGCACAGGAAATGTTGCTTGGGCATTATGTTGAGACTTGGCAGTAAGTTAAGGAGACAGAAACAAAAGTAGTAATAATGGAAAAGGGAGATGATAATAACTTAGGGTTTAGCTTCCGTGTGACTGGGAGAGGAACGGACATTATTAAGGTTCTTTTTGTTTTTGGGTTTTTTTTATACATGTGTTCTTGCTGCTATGTCTGAGGTCCAGAGCAAACTCTGCAATGCATACTATAGACAAGGATTTTGAAAAGCAAAGGATCCGTTTCAGTTGCTGGCTTTTTTAATCAAAACCTTATTTTTTTGCTATTGCGGTAAATACTTTTCTTCATAATATTATCTCTTCTTTGTGTTGTTTCTGATATAATTAACTGCTAACTTCATTTGGGTTATTAGTAAGCACATACGTTGGAGCACTACATAACATAATAATTAAGCCTGGAAGTTTAAGGAATACAAAATGTTAATTCAGAGGTGGACCATTTCTTGTTTGCTGTGTTGGCTCAGGTTGCTCAATGTCTACAGGGAATTGAACACTTTCCCCAGAGTATAAGTGAGTGTGAATTTATGCATGGAGATCAAAGTGATAACCTCAGGCCATCATAAAATAGAATTCTATACTTGAAATGTTTCTATATATATATTTTTTTTAGTTTAACTAAAAGGTTCCATTATAATAGTTTGTTCAATAAGGGAGCTGCTCCAGTCTGGTCAGTCCTGCCACCTGCTGTAGTCTGTTTAACCCATTAACCCCTTTAAACATAATGTTTAACCAGTTAATTAATTAAATGGGATTTTGCATGCAAAACAGTGAGTAAGAATCTGTTCCAAAGCTTGCTGATGTTTAACGAAGGACTCACCTGACTTTATTGGATTAGGGATGTTGAATTGCAGTTATCGGGCTAATCATGTAGTAGTTGATGCAATTTGTAATTAGTTGATAAGGACCGCGCTGCAGAGCTGCAGTGCGGGTAGCTCCAGGAGTCGGCTGCAGCAGGGATGGAGCAGTCCAGGCTCCTGCCAGCTCTGGAGCCATCCATGCTGTGGTTCTGCATTTTAAATGTAGTAAGAGCCCGGTGGATTCTCAATACATTCAAAATGCAGAGGCTCAGTGTCCCAGACCAGTGTGATCTGGGCCTGCTCAATCCTGGTTCGTGCTGAGTCCAGCAGCCTCCGATAACAGCTGTGGCCAGGTGCTGCTGCTGGTGCAGTGTGGCCAGTCCAGGACACTGCAAATGGGCTGTTTGGCGGCAGCAGCAGCCCCTGTTCTCGGGGGAGTCCAGCTCCCTGCTGGGATCCCTGCAGACAGAAGCTGCTCCTGGAGCAGTCTCCCCATCCCTCCTTGCCCCCCCCCCCCCCCCGCTGCCTCTCATACAGAGTGAGAGAGGGAGCGAGTAATTGAGTATTCCACTCAACTACCCGGTAAGCTAATGCTTATCCAAGTGTCAACTCCTCCCTAACATCTGTCTTAGTGCTACTTTGATTTCTATTTTTTGAAAACAAAATATTGTGTATCATCTCTTTGAGTGTTTGTCAATATCAGTATAATATAGAAAATCAGAAGCTTGGTTCCTCTAGTCCAGCTTCTTGGACAGCTTCCTGACAGCAGCCGATACCTGTTGTTTTAGAAGAAAGCCATCTCCAACTTGAATCTGTTTAGCCAGCTGCTCAATATTGAATGAAGATGAAATCTGAGAGAGCAAGCTTTCCAGCTTTGTGCATGAGATCATTGGATCCTATTTCATATCTGCCTCATTTTGACTGGAGATTTGAAATAAGCATTTAGTATTTATTTAATATCATTTATGTATATACATAGTAGGTTTATAGGTGAAATAGAGAGATTTGTTCCTTTCAAGAAATGTAATTTTTCTGTTTGCCCTATGGTTTTGTTCTGTAGGTTTTTTTTGTTGCTTCCCTTCTCTCTCCCCAGAAACACATCAGTCATCTGGGAGCCAGCTAATGAATGAAAGCAGACTTGCTCTTGTGTGCTTAATATATGTGCCTTGTCCTTCAATTGAACAGAGGGCTCCCATGTTTCTCATGGAGCAGGTGAAGAGTTTACTGCTTCTGTGATTGGAAAGCCTCGTAAGAAGTTGCCAGGAGAAGTGTAATAGTGTGAGGTATATTCCTTTCAAATGTGAAGAAAAGAATTGTTTACTAGAAAGAAAATGAAGCAAAAGTAAAGGTGACAGCTTGTGGCAGTCTCCAAGGTGCGAGCACCCCACCCGAGTCCGGGATGAGGGCCCTTCGAGCCCAACTGACAACTGTCTCACTGATGTGGTGGTCCCCTTAGGCATGAGCATCCCAGCAGAGTCTGGGACGAGGGCCCTGTGGGCCCTGCAAGCCCAACCGCCAACTGTCTCCCACACCTCCTTCACGATAGTTCCTTATGGGGTTCCGAACCACTGTTACCCCGGGACTCTTGTACTGCCCCTTAGATGCTGCCTCGTTGGCTCTTCACAGAGAAGAGGGGAGGGGAGAACCAGGGCCCTCCTTCTCCACCGGGTCCCAGCCCGGGGCCCTAAGTGCAGGGTCGACGCCTGCCTGCACGGCTGACAGGGAGTGCTCCCGAAACGCGTTAGCCCACGGGCTGCTTCCTTCCACGCACTGATCCCTGGGTGGTAGCCTCCAGCTTCCCAGTGCCTACCGCCATTCCAGGTGCTGGGTCCTCACTCTGTTCTCCAGTGCCTCTCCCGGGGTCTCTCTTGCCAGCAACGCTTCTCACCTGGGGGTCACTGCTCTTCCTCCAGGAACGCCCAGCCGTTCCCCTTCTCTGATGCTGGCAGGGCTTTTTGAAGTGGCCCGCTGGCCGTGACGCTGGTTGCGTGGGGCCTTCCCCCGTCACTTCCGGGCAGCCGCCCGCCGCCTCGGTTCGGTCCGGCAGTAAGCCGGGGGCGGGCTCACGGCATCGGCACTGCCCTGGCGGGGAGAAGGGTTTCCACCGTGCCCCAGCTCTGTGGCAGTGCTGCACCCCTCAGGTTCGCTGCTCCCTGCGCGGCTCTCTGCACCCCCCCTTCCAGCCAGACGGCATGCAGGCAGTTGGCGGCCCATCACACAGCTAAAATAGGCTAGACTTCTACACCAGGGGTGGCCAAACTGAGGCTCGTGAGCCGCATGCGGCTCGCGAAGAAAAAAAATGAGGCTCCTGACGGAACCGGGACGGAACCCAGAACAGCTCAGGTCAGCCGCTCTCATGGCTAGGCCGTTGTGAGCTGCATGCGTGCTCATGGACCCCAGCGCATTGAATCATATCCTGCACGTGCAGGCCGGGTGTCACATAGTGTCCCAGCTTGCACATGCTAGCAGCTGGCTGTTGAGTGCAGGCAATCGTAGCAGCTCTAGGTGTGGGGGCACCAACGGCAGCTCCGGGACCTGGGCATAAGGTTATTGGGGGAGGGTAGGTATATGGCTCTAGAGGAGGGGAGGGGAATTGGGTTGTGGGAAGGGATGCGCACGGTGTGCCGGCTGCTTATCGCATGCGCCCCAGCGCCTGAAGGGATATGTGTGGCTGTAGCAGTGGCGGCGGCTACGGGACCTGAGAATTAGGTTACAGCAGGGGAAGTGTGTGTGTGGGGGGTGGTGCCTAGCTCTAGTCTGGGGGAGGGGAAGGGAGTGGAGGGGAAAGAAAGGGAGGGGGATTGGGTTTGGTGGGGATAGGGTACGCATGGCATCCCATCCAACATGTCTCAAGGCTGGCTGCTCAGTGCATGCGCCCCAGCACCTGGAGGGAGATGCGCATGGATGTAGCGGTGGCCACAAGGACCATAAAAAGTTTATTATATTCATGTTTTTCAAAAGACAGTAATAGTACTTGTTTAATCTACTATGATGCAGAACTTTCGCGGCTGATGCTGTTCTGACAGAAAAATATTGAGAGTGATTCCAAGAAGGAAGTAGCTCATTTCAGTGTTGCCAACATTGAAAGATGAAATTTAAGCATCATGTTTCACAAAGTTGTACTAAGAAACATTTCTTCTGAGTTACAAATGCCAGCAGAACAGCAGTGGGTCTTCATCTTGCTTGTGTTTGAGGTAGCTGAACCAGACCAGTCAGCTACTGCTAGGATCAAAGTGACCTACGTTTTGAATGCACAGTGTGGTATTCTGCATCTTCAGGAATGGTTAGGCATTGCTGGACCTCTCTGCTGTAGAGTATAACATAAAACCAATAAAGTTTAACTTGATCAAATGGATTTCTCCTGAAGAGTTTCCGGATTTAAGCGAGTGTTTCTTTTCTTTTAAGTAAAACCCAGTATTGGTGATTGCTCTTGGTAGCATCTTTTGGATTGCCCACAGAGGCAGCTTGAGGCCAGGTGAGAAGTAGCTCTCGATGGCTGCTGTAGCTCCAGCGAGCACAGCTGGGAAAGGGGTGCATGTTCCTCTCTCTGTCTAGGGAGTGCAGGGTGAAAACAAACCTGGATCTGCCCATGCCGGAGGACCTGCACCCCTCCCCCACTCATAGAGACATGCTTCTCACCTGGCCCCAAGAAGCTGTGATGAAAGAGGTGTGGGGTAATCCTCTCTTCTTGGGACAGCATGTACATTGAAACCCAATTCCCCAGCCCCACTCCAGAGCACTGATTGAAATTAAGATTTAATTGGGTTAAGAGCCCAAGCAATGGGGATCCTATTTTATGAAGTAGGAAGCCATCTGCTGGCAAAAGCTTGCAACATTTGTGCTATATATTTGAACAAACATTATTTGAGTTAAGGAACTGAGCAATACTGGATCTATAGAATATAGTAGATCTATATTTTCATGTTGGCTTTACAGCCCCTACCTTACTCTTTTACGAGGATTTGAGCAGCCCTTTTTAGCTGAGTCTTTCTCTCTCTTTCTACCCACAGGGATTCTTCAAGACTTCTGCGTTTGGAAGTTTCCCTGAGTGTTCTTAGAGCTAAATCTCTCTTAGTGCTCTGTAATTGAAATAGTTGTATCCAAAAGCCATCTCTTCTGGGGTCAGGGTAAGTCCTGGTGTCGCTACCAAAAAATCCCCACTTATATTGCTTCTGAAGAAAGAGGGTTTTTAAACCCAGGGCATTGGGGAAAACCTTCGGGGGGGGGGGGGAGGGAAAGGGCCTTATTCCTTTCCCTTTTGATAACTCTTCAGACCAATGGATTCCTCCGTCTCCTTCTCTGTGTTGTAGTCTGGAAGAGATAAAAGGACAAAGACTGAGGCAAACAGAAAAGAGGAAAGCCTCTGATAAGGGGAAGATGTACTCCTGCTTTCCACATCTTGGAAAGGCTAGAGATATTTTTGTGGTCTCAGATCTCTGTAGTCAAGCTGGACAATGGAGGCAGACTGGTTGAGACTTAAATGATCAGAAAACAAAGTTAAGCCTTGCTATGGGGACTCGTGGACTTTTTTTCCTTTACAATCCCTGGAATTTATCATCCTAAGGCATAGAAGATCAAGAACAGCCAAAAACATGGGCAGATGCTATTCCTCCCCACGCCCCTTCCTAAAAGAGCAAAAACATAAGAACAGCCATATTGGGTCAGACCAAAGATCTATCCAGCCCAGTATCCTGTCTGCTGACAGTGGCCACTGCCAGATGCCCCAGAGGGAGGGACCACAAAAGGCAATCATCACGTGATCGCTCTCATGTCATCCATCTCCAGACAATAGAAGAAATAGTATTTGATTAAAATATCGCTCCGAACATGAGCCCTTTCTTAAAAGGGTTATAATAGGCCTAGTTGTCCATGACATTTTCACCAAATGTCCTATGAAAAAGAAGGCATTTCAAAGAAGACCATGAAGCTACTAGGGAAATCTTTCTTTGGGTACCACACAAGAGGAATAAATTGCTCTCACTAGAAAATAGGATGTCATGAGGACCTAATGGATAATTCATGTGCAAGTGAAGTGTTAGGGACAATGTGCTTAAATATTCTCCAATAGGCCCTGGAGCGTGACTGTTGGCAGTACTGTCCTTGTAGTTGGAGGCCACAGTTATTTTTCATTGAAAGTAAATTTGTCAACACTCTGCAGACAAAGAGATGGACTCTTCAACAAGGAGAAACATCTAGATGACTCTGACAGTACTTGTGTTTCAGCGACTTTTATGTATCTTTTTAGGGTTATGTTAGCCTGAAAGATTTCCTTATGAAACCTCATCTCTCTGAAGGTGCTTTACTGTCATTGAGGGAGTACATCCCCAAAGAAAGCTTTCTTAAGAGTATTCATTGCCTCTCTAAGCACTTGTGCTTTCCCAGTAATCCTCTTGTTTTAGTAGATCCAAAGACAGCTTGTTTTAAATAAATTGTATTATTTTTGCCCTTAAAAGATTGTTTCAAACTGTACCAGCACAGTTAATTTTTTCTGATTGGAGAGATTTAAAATATTTTTAGTAAATCTCAAGGACATTAAAATCTCAAAATGAAACATTCCTTTGGTAAGATGTTATCTTCAAGAAATAAGTTGTTTTCAAATCTTCATTGCTATATTAAATAATTTGCACTTCAGGGCCACAAGTAATGTGTGCTGGAAAGCTTTTACAGGTTGAAAAGAAAAGTCTGGATTCTGTTGTACTATAAAAATCCAAAGGGACAGTACAATTCTAGTTCAGTCTCATAAGTCATTTATTTATAATTGCATTTTTTAGAAAATGTTAATGAGCCTTGCATCATAGTAGAGTAGCTCTAAATTACTGTATATGATTATCTACATATTTTATTGTTGTTTATAGGGCAGGTACTGAGGATTTTTGAAGCTGAGCCAAGGTTTTAGTATTTATAAATTGGCTGAAGCTATGAGATTAAATGGCAGCATTAGTCTTCTCAAATGTAATGTGATAATGTCACATAGAAAGAGATGATACCTGAATGGCAGATGGAATGTGTCTGTCTGAAACATAGAAGAATGAAAACTATTTCTTGGAGTGATATATATGGACAAATAAAATCAAGTAGCTGTTGCAGTAAGATAAGAATGTAGTATCAGTCACTACCATTAGGACATGCAAACAGGAACTTGTACTTCCTGAAACCTGCCTGTTTTTAATTGCCCGTTTTTTTTAAATGCCTTCACACTTGTCTCAGTGGTATCTTCCTTTTGGGAGGATACTTGAGGTTTTAAAGAGCCTGGTTGTATTTTGAGGTGAAAAGCATGGAATTTTGTCCCCATAATGCTAGACTTCTGAAAAATTAAATAATTTTTAAGAAAAGTAACTATAATAGAATAACACATTCAATTATAAGTTCAGGAATAAGCGTACAAGACCAGATAAATTCAGTACATATTATTAAATGTTGTTTAAATGACTATTGTATTTTAAAAGATCTCTATTTAAAGAAAGTTATGGGTTGTACAGTATAGTACTCAAAAACTAGGAAATGCCAGAATTTGCTTTAATTTGTTTCCCTTATGCATATGTATTTTGATAATCTTGAATTCCATTTGTCATAGTATTTTTCCACAAGACTCATGCCTCTTTCAGTATTCAGAATAGACTCTGTTTACTGGGTGGGTAGCTACTAAACGTTGTTGTTTTTTAAAATTCTTCTTATTTACTATGTGACTCTGCTTTCTTCAGTTCACATTGTGCAAACCCTCTACATAATTATCAATTTCCTTATGTGCTTTTAAATAGTACTCACTGTAGTGTGTGAATGCTTTGCATTTTTTTTATAAAACATGGGAGGCAAGGCAATGGTATTTTCTTTTTACAGGTAAAGGACTGAGGCAGAGAGAGAAAAGTACCCAGCAGTTTTAGGTGTTTGATATTTCAGAGCACTTAATGTTTCAGAGCACTTCTAATGTTCACGGCACAGCTCTGATCAACTTCAGCTGGAGAGAGAGAAAGAGAGAAAGAGAAAGAGAAAAAAGTTCTCAGATGTTTCAAGTCAGCAACCTATGAGAATTTTTGCTTTGGTGACTTATCCAGAAACAGATAGGAACCATAGATAGAGAATCTTATTTTTAAGAATGGCTTTCCAGTGCCTCAGTTATGAGACTATCTTTTGTTGCAGTCTTTTGCCTCTGTGATGGCATGTTTTTGAATTTTTGCAGCAAATGTACCTGGGATCCTGCAGCCAAGACTCATAGATTTTAAGGCCACATGGGACCATTCTGATCTTATAGGCTGATTTCTTGCATATTGCAGTCCATAGAACCTCCATCACCACTAGCTGAGTTATTGAAGTCCTCAAATCTTCATTAAAAGACTTCAGGTTACAGAGAATCTATTATTTACTCTAGTTCAGCCCAGCAAAAGGGAGGCAAAACTCTCAAGATTTCTGCCTGTCTGACCTGAGGGAAAATTCCTTCCTGAGCCCAAATGTGACAGACATTTAGACCTTGAGTATGAGGATGAGATCCTATCAGCCAGACATCTGGGAAAGAATTATTTGTAATAGTTGAGCCCTCCTCATTTGATGTCCCATGTCCAACTATTGGAGATGTTTGCTAATAGCAGTCACAAATGGGCCATATGCCATTGTAGGCAACCTTGCTATACCATCACCTCCATAAATGTATCTAGCTCAGTGTGACGGGGCGGAGGCGCCCCGCACTTCGGTCCCGCTGGCTGCCGCTTATCTGGCGGTTCTCGGGGCAGGGGGTGGAGTAGCGGCACTGGGCGCGCTGCATGCCGCGGGCCGAGCGGTGCAGGGGCTGGCCTACCGGCTGTGTGGCAGCTGTTCCCGGGGGGCTGCCCCGGCAGGACACTCACGTATAGCCTGGAGGCTGGGGGCCGACGTGGGGGGAGCGACGTCGGGTCATGGCCCCATCGAAGGCCCGGAAGCGGGGCCACGCAGGAAGGGGCGGGACCCGATGGGCCGGGAGCTGGTGCGGGGATTTAAACCCCAGGAGATGCCGGAGAGAGGAGGAGGTCCAAGGGAGCGACCTCTCGCTGAGGACCAGCGACAGATAGGACCCAAGACGAGGAGGTGAGCCCAGAGGCAAGGGGATAGTTGACCGTGGAGAGAGGAAGTAGCGTAGGGCGAGCAAAGGGAGCCTGTGGGCTGGCAAGTTATGGCAGATGCCCCGTCAGCCGGACCGGATGGTAGAAGCGTCTGTGTCCTTAGGGCCCTGGGCTGGGGTCTGTGAGAGGGGGCAGGCCTGGACCGAGACCGGCTCCTGCATAGGGGCCAGCAAAACCCCAAACGAGTGAGGGCCCTGCGAGCCTTGGTCAAAACGGACTTGGACGCTGGAGGGTGCCTGAAAGGGTGAAGGAAACACGGGGACAGGGGGGTGGTGTTAGGCGCTAACAGGGTGCACAGCAGGACCCGTTTACACTCAGTCAGTTAATACTTGGGGTTTAGTTTTGTTTTGACTCTGCTATTGCACTTGAAAGGTGGTTCCAGAACTTCACTTCTCTGCTGGTTAAAACGTTTGTCTAATTTCAGGCTTAAACTTGTTGATGGCCAATTTATAACAGTTTGGTCTCCTTCGAGTGGTGTCCCTGTGGGTGCTCCACTCAGGTATCAGTGTGTCCTTGCACTGGTGATTAAAGATTTTTAGTTCTTTCCTGCATTGTGCATGCACAGTTGCGGTCCTGTGCTGGTTTTGTCCATTGGCTGCGTGTGCGATGCAGGTCCCCTCAGTTCCTTTTTTACTGTCCTCAGAAGAAGATGGAGTTTTCAGAGCAGTGCTCTCCTAACTGGAAAAAGAGAAAAAAGTGTTGGTAGTTAACTGTTAGTTGTTAGTTAGCCCTAGTTCGTTTTTCTTAAAAAACTAAACCAAACAAAAACTGTTGTTGCCTACTTTTTCTTTTCTCCAAGTTCTTCACACCCCCGTTTCTTCATTTGTTGGGTTCCCCTGGCTTTACAAAAGGTGACTCCTCTAGAGACTCAGTGCCTGCTTCAGATGGGTATGTCTCATGCATAAAGTGCCTTGGCGAAGGCCGTGTGGCACAGATATGCACACAGTGTCAGAGCATGACCGCCAGGGCCAGAATAAACCGGGAGATGAAGCTTAAGAAATTGCTATGGGAGAAATCCCTCTAGCCACAAAGGCGAA